GCCAACGGGAATTCGTCCTGAACTGCTCTCCGAGTCTTGTAGAAGAAAGGCTTTTTTGCAGGTTTTTGAGCTTTCACTTCGCTTTTTCGCCATTTCCACACTAAACAGCACCCTGTTACCATTTTAGACTGAGTACCAAATTATCGTGCCTTATGCCTTTCGAAGCGCGTGGTGTCTGGAGTGCAACGGCATGACTATGAAATGGACTTTGATCAAACCTTCTATGAGATGGAACTACGAGTTACGTTGCCTTTTAAGAATCAAAGTGGTGGGGATTGATAGCGTGGACCGTACGGCCCAATCTTATACAAGTTTCGTGTCAGAATGCTGCAAGGTATGGACACAAAGGCGCAAGGTTGCTCAAATGACTCCCCCTGAATCTGTGTTCATGCGCAAGGCACGTCAGCAACAGGAAAAGTATAGATATGAATCAAGGGTCTGCCAGCGTCTACCAGCGTGCACCAGCGTCTCCTAGCGTCTACCAGCATCTGGGAGAGCAAGAGTATGGTCCTAGAGAGGAGAGTATGGTGCAATAGAAGGGTAGCAGACGCTATACTGTCTACCAGCACTCTACCACCCTCCTATATCCTACACCCTATCACCTGTCTGCTAACCTTCCTATCGCTCCATACTCTCTACCCGTACATCGCCTGCTACACCTCACTATCTCCTCTATAGCTAGCACCTGTGGGTACCCCTCCCCCCTATTGCGTCACACTCTCCTCTCCCACGTTGGTGTACGCTGGAACACGCTGGCAGACCCTAAATCGTTATCTATACTTCCCCAGTCCCTGAACGCTAAGACAACCGCTAGTAGGTAGACAAAGGTGGACGCTGCAACAAAGTATGAACGCAGCCTAAGCGCCAGACGCACCTGCTTCGGTATCTTTTGTGTAGTTCGACTGCAGCCCTTTACCTGATCTTTTGTCCGAAACACCAATAGTCTTCCTACCTCCTGGAACAGAGAATGCCTCATTTAGAACATTCGACGGTTATGTCTGCTTTTTTCTAGATGGGCAAGTCAACTAGCAAATACACTTCTGTGTTTCAACTCATCATAGCTACTTACGACTTTTGCGACTGCTTATTGCGGATTGTGGCTCCAAAGCTGAACTTCGGCAGCTGAACTGATGGCCCATCAGTGCACAAGTTTTATTCCTTCGCATTAGAACCGTCCACGCCCACGCGGCTTTATTGCTGCACTTATCGTTAGAAAGATTTGTTGAATACGAAATCATCTAGAGAGTAAAGCATACGGGAGAAGGATTCTCTAGGAAAAACTGAAGAGAGTCGTTAACGATGTAGATGTGACGAAGACGTTGAAGTCATTCCAAAGTGTAAAGCTTTCCACACATACATAAACCCTATCTGTCGTTGCCGAAAGCGAAGTGTTCAAGCACATTTTCTTAGCTTTTTGCTTTTTGATTCCCCTGTCACATTGACTTAGAAATCGTCTCAGTCTTGGTTGTAAAATCCGCAAGATAAGGGATAAGAACGAGAAAGCTGCTTTACCAACGACCATTTTTCTTCCGCACAAAAACTCTGTTGCGATCGGTTTTCCATTTTGTCTGCACACTACTTGCAGCGCTAGCTGAGTCAACATTTTTATTGAGAGACTGGACTTGGCTGAGTTGAACGCGATACCATCCGCGGTCTGGTTCTTGTAAGAGCGAGATGTCGGCGTGATTTGACTTGCCATAAGCTATCACTTGATTATACACTTGTCCAATGCAGATTGCACGCCTCTGTGCTTTCATATATTCTACTCTTCCCATCAGAGCATATTTTGTGAAGGAAAATTTGTCTGCACTTTTCTACAGCTCTCCGTGCACTTACATATATTTTGTTTAATATTTATACATCACAGTACCGTGTCACGCGAAGCCATGCAGCGGCCATAGGGGCGTTAGACTAGCGCTGCCCCCGCCCATTTTCGTTCCACTCATGTTGCCGAATTAAGCCGCACCTGTACTGTCACCATAGGGTTAGGAAAACATGTCAGTTTGCCTGAGTTTAAAATCAGGGGCCTTCTGACTCCTCCGATTGCGCTTTCGACCGTACAAGTCTATGTGTTCATTGCCTTTAAGGGAGATGGACAAGAGAAATCGCAATTTGCGCCCTCCGCTGCGCGCGGCGATGCGGCGCGGCGGCCGTGTTCTTAACTTCGTGTTATTTATACTGGAGCACTGGAGGCACCGAAAATTCATGTAAGACGCCGTCATCCGTAGACAATTATGACCCACTTTCGGGTTCGAGAATTGCGCCTGTTACGCCATATACTACCTGGAACCATCGTTATTTGCGGGCGCGACGTCGCGGCGCCCACCAGCGCGACGAATTACGATTCTTTTGTCACATACCCTGTCTTTTTTCTTTTTATTTATTATTTAATCTTTATTTCACTCTTTAACCTACTCCTTATCTCAATGCCGGCCTTTAGAAACTCCGAGCGAATTTTTTCAAGCGGGAACTACTGTTGTCGTAGGTAGTACCCGCATCAGAAGTCCCTTAGGCCCATGGGGGTGAGAAGTGAGCTAACGCAACACCTGTGATGAGACAACGTAGAAACGCCGCTTAACTCGAAACTCTTAATCACCCGAATCTTAGAGCTTCTCTCCTTGCTTATGTCACCTTGTATTAAAGCAATAAGATGTATAAAGGATATGTCTTAACGACATCAGATCATGCCGCGACCGCTACAATTTTAAAACTTCAGTGACAAGAAAACAGTCTAACCGCAAATAATAGCCAGGAAACGGTGTAACGGATTCGACTAAAAATCGTCTTAACTAAGCAATCCGGTATTTCGCACCAGTCTGGGCTGGGGAACGCGTTCTGCCCTTACTTCTTTGCGATTTTCGACGAGATTTTGGCATAACTAAAGCGTACCGCGTCTGCTTCGGTTTATGTGTAACATGACGACTTCCATTAAGACAGATCTACGTTAACAGAATGTCATAGAAATATACAGGGAAGCTCACAGCATCAGTTAGTGTTTTCTGGAGCGCGCCAAGCATTGACTTCTGCTGGACATCACTCATTCGATGTGTCACTTGTCTGGCACGCTCAGTGCTGCGGACCAACTGCTGTTGAATTCAGTGTTTGTTTCCCTCATACAGATCTTACACCCATTGGCCCCAAAAGTGCCGGCGGGATATAATTCTGCATCGGCGGAGTCCTGACGTCACAAATATTAGGTTGTCCGGAAAGTTCTCAGCGTTTTGGGTGTTTCACTTTAAACGATCGTAACTTTTTTAATACTCATCGGATTTAATCGAAATAGGCACCATTCGAATCAGCACACTTTTGCCAATGTGACAGCAGTCGAGAAATCCCATCAAAGTAAAAACTGGGTGGTCGAAAATTCACGAAATCCACTAAGGCTTTTTTGCCTGGTCCTGATTGATGAAGTATTTTCCAGCAAGGGAGTTCTGAAAATGTTAGAAAAGGTGATAGTGATAGTCGGTTGGCGAAAGGTCTGAAGAATATGGCGGTTGAGGTAGAACTTCAACCCCCAATTCGTTCAATTTATGGATAGTGATTTGTGAAACGTGTGGGCGGGCGTTGTCATGCAAAGGAATCGGACTTTCTTTTGATAAGTGTTGGCTGCATCTGACAAAATTTTCGGTACAATTCGTCGATTTCTTCACAGTAGGGTTCTGCTGTGATGGTTTGGCCTGGTGATAAAAGTTATAGTGGATCACACCAGCCGATGACCACCAAGCCGTGACCAGAATCTTTTTTTCGTGAGGGTTCGGCTTTGAAAATTACCTCGGTGGTTCGTCGAAATCCAACCACTGTCCGGAACGTCTCCTGTTATCATATGACCCATTTTTCATCACAGGCTGGACCAAATTCGCGGCCCAAAAAATTAGGTTCGTTATCTGACTGCCGCAAAAGCAATGCAGAAGGAACTCGAGACGTGCCGCTTACCTGCCGGTTACTCAATTGTGGAGCACCCAATTGTCGAGTTTTTTCACCTTCCCAATGCGTTCCAGACCATCTGCAACAGTGGATTTGCCAAGGCCTAGCTCTTCTGCTATCTCTCGAACTGTTTGGGATGGGTCAGCCTCCAAAATCCCCCTAAAATCCTCGTCAGATATTGCTTTAGGTCGACCGCTAGGTTCATCTTCAAGGCTGAAATCTCCAGAACGAAATTTGTTGAGCCATTGCCGCACAGTGCTTTCTCTAGCACTATTGGGCCCCCACACCTGGTTAA